GATTTCCCCTTTTCACAACATTTATGAAGACTGCAAACTTCTGTCCTTCTCAGAAATTACAAATAAAAGTAGTCCCTGTCTGATCTTGCTGTTATTTTTTAATTCCAGATTCCTTCTTGTCAGCTATGTTGTGTACATGCTATTGACCTTAGCTATTTATTAATAAAGATTCAGTAATCACATAAGAGTATTTATGTGCCAGTGACAATTAGAAGCAATGGGACTTAGAAAGACATAGATGCTTTAATGTAACGCACTCGTAAGATATAATTGAAATACAACTTTCTGTACTAGAACACTTACAAGAGCTTATTTCAGGCAGAGGTTTTGAACATATCGTGACAATACTTAGGGGGACTTGGTATTCAGACAGGAAGCAATGAGGCTTCCTGTGATATAATAGAGGAACTGTGAAAAGCCGGGGAACGAGGTAAAATCAAATGATGCATGTCACGTAACATCACAACAGGTGCAAAAATGTACAACACAAGACATTATAAGAGGTAAATAAGATGGTATATGATATCTACAATAAACTGATATCAGAGAGTGAATATTGTTACGCTAATCGATAGATAAACATCTGCAGTTATTACAGAACCTGGCACTGTGCAATGCAGTCCACTGCTGGAACATGTTTCCCGGAGCTTCAACAATTCAGCTTCTGGATACACATCTCCAAAACTGTCTTGGCTTTCAGTCTAACACCAAATCCCACCAATTTTTGCTACCCCCAGGCAGTTCCTACACCTTTTGTTGGGGGAAAAAAATAAATATACTGTAGGTACACCTGCATTCTGGGTGCAGTAGGCATACATGATATCTGTATATGTCGACACTACGGCTCACAGTAAGAGGTTTCCCTGTGGAAGTGGCTTCTGTTTCACAGCTAGGTTACGATATGGCATCTCCCCCCTGTGACAAAGGCACAGAGTGCTTTGGGTTGGGCAAGATACAGTCACATACCATGTGACCTCTGTGGAGCTCATCGGTTTCCCAGACACCCATCTGGCCTGGCTTTGAGATGTGCCCGCTAGGCATGGGGCAAAGCAAACTTTCCTGCTTTACAGCAGAACAACCATTCTGGAATTAGAGAAGCAAGCATGCAAAAGCAAAGGCTGCTCCACAGACAGACGGGAAAGGAGATTGACCAGATGGCATCTGACAGTTGCTTACTCTCCTCCTCATTCCCAATTGGCTGTGATCTGAGGGTCAACCATTGGCTTCCTATGAAAGACATTTTATTTCCTATGTCCAATGCTTTCTCCAACTCGCTATGGTAACACGTGCGCGTCACGCTCACAGTCTTCTTAGAAGATTGACATCATATCTAAAATTGAACATGCCTGCGGAATAATTATGGAAGCCTGAATGTTTCAAGCACTCAAACCCTGAGTACACAGCCACAGATGGCCCAGAATAGTCACAGTTCATAGGCATGCAGCTCTATGTATTTCCAGGGCGATTTACTATTCACTTCGGTGTTCAATGTCATCTATCCAAATGTGGAGCAGAATAGATTTTCTTAGTATTCACATAAAAGCATGACTACAGATGATATAGGCTGCTGTATTTTGTAAAGAGGCTACAAAATGTATTAAAACCATTTATCCAGAATAGAAACATGGGCCGGGAGGGGGAGTTTAGGGTTGGGGGCGCGCACAGGAAAACCCTGGGAAGGATGTCAGTCCGTTGCAGATACACACATGCACGCACAAAATCACATACCACATTACAGGCTACAGTTAATCTAATAGCATATCTTTAAACTGTGAGAGGAAAGTTGTGCAACACGGTGAACACAAACACACAAAGAGCAGGGGTGTGACCCAGGGGTACACAAGGCAATAATGCTGTTTACTGAGCCACTGATCTTTAACTCATAAATCTAAGTATAAAGAATCAATTTACAGTTTAAGGATAAAATCTCTAGTAATTGCCAGGACATGCAGAGCAATACTGCCACCTCCTGCTACACACAGTGAACTTAAATGAACAGGAGAGTCAGAAGGTGACGTTGGCGCTGGCTGCACAGCTATAGCTATAGTTTTGGTCAACCTGCCAGTATTAAAGCAGTAGCTGGTATAAAAGGTGAGCTAAGTGGAGTGCAGTTTAAAAGGGATTAATTTAATATGAGAACCTTCATGTCATAGCGATTTAGTCTAATGGTTTATTAATAAGAGGGGACGTACTGCCCTCACTTAAACATTACATCAGTTATAACTGCCCTCCAAAAGCCATGCCACCTGTTCCATATTGCAATGACCATTCAAAAACTGAGTGGCACGTGTGATTTCCAGATGAATTTCCAGGTAACCACTAAAGTGTGTATGCGGCATTTCCCCCGATTCCCTTGGTGGACCGGCGATACCTCTCACTCTCCATGGAGAAGCGTCTGTGAAAACTCTCACGTCACGCCAGCCTTTAGTGGTGCTGTTCTCCCAGCAGATGTCCCCAGGGACTGCTGATATTTGGGCGGCGATTTGAAATCTTTCCGAATTATAGCGACTGCAGCACAGCAGAACAATGGAGGGGCGGAAACAACAGTTTATCCTAAAATGGATGCAACTGGCCACGCATTCTATTCTGATCCCTTACCAACTGCAGGGGCCCGTTAGAAGCACACACAATAAACTCTGCAGTGCTGCACCATGAAATCACACTTGGGCCACTCAGTTGTTATGGAACGACTTGTCAGCGTCTCATATCTCATGATAACATTATCAATAATGACTAAACAGGGGCCGGTCTGAGGGGGGCCAATGCCCATGTGAGAACATGCATGTCCCCCCTGTGGCCCCCCTGAATATGTATGCTAATTGGGCCTGAAATAAATGTACAGTGGTACCTCGGTTCTCGAACTCATTAGAAGTCAAACCAACCAGTTCGAAAAAAAATTACCTAGAGCTCGATCTGAATCTCAGAAGTCAAACTGTGAATGCCGGCCTAAGATAACTTGTACGCGTGGGGAAATGAGTCACGCGGCACGTCTCTCAGCGGAAACAAAGGGTAACGCTTCAGTCTCAGCCTCGCATTAGCTGTGATAGCACCGCGCATGTTTACACTAACTGAATACATCTATTTAGACAGTAAAAATACATTTAGACAATGATAGTCAGTAACAGTAATTATTATTATATAATAAAATACATTTAAAAATAAAGATTTCTTATTCATTATTTTAATATTAATAATAAACCATTAATACATTTAATTATAATAATATTGTTGTGCCCAGCGGGGATGGAACGGAGACGTCAGGGTATCGGGGAATACGGGGTTTAATTACAGGTAAGGCAGGCAAAACGCAGACGGACAATACAATGACCGGACTGGGGAAACAAACTGAAACGCGGACGAAATAGAGGACTAATGACAACAACCAGAAATAGCAGATCACATGAGGATTCCAGACGGGGTTAACGAGGGGACGTGGCACACGGAAGGAGCGGACGATCGGGGCAGGACACATTGTTTGAATACATTTATTTTCTTACTTTACAAATTACTGTTTTGATAAATGTGCTTAGATGTGTTTAGTACAGTATATGTTGTTTTTGTTTTATTCGGTTCATTTTGTGTTAAAATGCTAAAAAAAAACATATTTAGGTGTAATTTTTTGGGGCCGGGAACCAATTAATTGGTTTTCCATTATTTCTTATGAGGAAAATTCGATCACAACTTTTTAGGATTCGATCCGGAGTTCTGAACGGATTAAGTTCGAGTTCTGAGGTACCACTGTATCACTATTATTATTATTATTTACATTTATATATGTGGGCTAAAAGTTTGTGCACTGGGAGCAGGCAAAACACAAACGTAATCACATTTTCTTGACGGACCCTTAACGCGGTTGCGACAGGGGGTTGTGTCGCTTCAGTTGGTGAAAAGTGAAGTTGATGACAGAAAAAATAATCAAGCTTGTGGAAGGAAGACAGCCTAAAGAAGTCAGAGTGAATTACATATCTGTAACAACTGTAAAATGTGACTGCAAAGCATTGCATGTTGAAAATCCCAAATCCCCCTTCCGTTATCTCATATCTAAACATGAAACAGTAATAAAAATACATGGAATTTAATAATATTATAACTCATTCTTTTGAATAATGAAAATACTATCGATGTATCTATGGATATATAAATGCATAAAATCCAGTGAAGGCTAATAAAATGCATACATCTACTGAATTTTGAAAAGCAAAATGTTTTATGAATTAAGAAAAAAATCCATGTTTGGGTCCATATTAAAATAATTTGGTTTCAAACACTAAACTGCTGCACCTCAGTTTCATTGGTTAGACCTGGTCTCCATTATGAACAAAAGTGATTTAAACGTGAAACAGTGAAACTTTATACCAAGAAAATCAAATACTTAATATTATATTTATACAGCTATAGGGACAAGCGCTATTCTGAGTCAAGACAACATGCCAGGAAAAGCTTTATGCTGCCCCATTTTAAAAAATGCGGACAATAATTGGACCTACGTCATATTCTTTCAAGATTAGCGTGCACTCATCTCCACTGCATTATTAGCACTAATCATGCTTGTTTTAGGTGAAAACTGAGGTACACACATCGTTCAAACTTCTGTCCATCACAAAATATTCACTCACATTCATAATTTTACAATGTTTGAACTCTGGGACTGTATCATCTCCTGTTAGCTTTTTCTACCCAGATCACAGCTTCACCACCTCCGGGCTAATTTTGCGCAAGTGACTCTGTCCTTCAGATTCCATGCCGAATGTGAACGTTCCCATGTGACACTTTCATTGCAGCAAGTGCCCAGGTGACCACCCAACCCCCAATCTTCTGTAGTGTTCCATGTCTTTTAGTTGCAAGCCCAAACACTCTGTATTCTTGTGTCGACTGCGGCCTTTGATGTTCCTTTCATGTCACTCCAGATGTGTTAATTAGCTCACCATAGTGGAAAGGGCACCTTTAGGCTCTGTGATGCAGAGCTGGGACTGAATGAACAGTTCGTTAAAGGCAGAGCATATAGCTTAATACTGGTCAAGTTTAATATGGAAAAAGTAGATCATATTACACATATAACAACTTCATAAAACTATAATATACCATCCATCTACCATCCATACACCCTGGGTCCTGTCATAGGACACCAGACAGGGTGAGAAGTTTTGGATGGGATTCTACTCGCTAAAGGTAATCTATCTATCCACCCTGCAACCATTTATCCAGGTCAAGATCATGGGAATGATATGTGAGACAAATAAAGTTTAAAAAATAAATAAGTATAAATAATTAAGTACACACCCAGGACAACTAGCCAAGGCTGGCCACAGGGACCAAGAACGTTCTCACGGTCTCTTTGCCGACCACGATGCCAGTTAATAACTTATAAATGACACGAAGCTACGGAATCCTTCACATTGTAAAATGCAGCAATGCGAGCTACTGCAGAAGCTAACAGTCAGACACAGGTGCAAAGACAGCAGCAGTGAGCTCAGCAACGTGATGTAAGTTACTTAACCAAGCATGCAGTCTGCAGTAACACTTTAAGCAGGCATCCAGAAATGTAGAATGTAGTAATAATCACTTCTGGGGAGTATGGTGGCAAAAAAAAAATTATATATATCATTTATATATAGACAGATAGGTTACATACAGTATATAGACACAATATATAGACACACACCTTATAGGTATAAAAAAAGTATAAATTTACTTGCATTACTTATTCAAGGCATTTGGACTGAGAGGAACAAAACAAACAGCCCTTTGTCGAAATAACATTACACATATATTTCAAGAATTTGGATGTCATTGCAATACTTGCTTTCCTTATATGTTGCTGCTATGGCTATTTAAGATAATCAAGAAGAACATGGAAAAATGTCAAGAATAAGGCTTTTTTTGGGAAACAATCCAGTAGCAATGTGGTATTAGCACTGGGAAGGACAACATGAGACCTACAGCTTGGGCATGTAGCCAGTGCATGGAGGGGCAAAGCAGACACATGGGCTTCACTTCACCCAGATAGACAGAGTAAACAGGCTTGGAAGAAATAATGTAAACCTTGTGAGAAAGGGAAGCAGCAAGAGGACAGGCTGGGCAGCCGTCTAGCGTGTGGAGCTGGACGAGGAGTCAGAGAGGTCTGAGTATGTTTCAGCAAGTGCAGAAAAGATGAACAATTACGGGTTTTCCTTCAGTATTCTGCTACAAAGAGCAGTTAAGACAAACTGTTCCCAGACAGACTATAACTAGTAGTGTACAGACACAGCAGCGGCTGCTTAATGACAGCAGGTATGAACATCAAAGGTTTGAACTAACTGAGTTCAAAGCAAAATAAACGAGCAAGAGACCCATGAAGCACCAGCCTGGCAGATTACAGCACTGTACCTACACTGCATGAAGAATGGGCCAGTGTACCAGTGTACAATAATATTGTTTCTCTTTGTTTCAACCAGGTAAACCTAATGAATACAACCCTACTATTGACTATTGTGTTCGATACATGCTAAGGCAAGATAATTCACTATAGGTACACTTGGGGGAAGTTTATCAGTCTGGAAATCTTGCTTTTTTGGGATGTCAGCTCCTAACTGGAAGAGGAGAGAAGGTGCTGGTATTGGGCTATTTACAGTAAGGGGCAAGCTGGCCACTCATACTGCTATAAGCCTGTTGCCATGGGGAACAAATGATACTTAAGTAAAGTTCTGAGCATTAGTGCACAAGCAGTTTGATCTGAATACTGGTGAATAGTACCCTGGATTTCTGCTCTAAACACTCATCCAGACACAAAACCACAGAAACAAAGCTGCCTAACAGAGGAAGTCAAGAAGACATGAAGATCTAACAGAGGAAAGAATGCAGGCAGTGTGGGTGGGAGAGACGGGAGAGGTTGTTACGAGGACATCATGGTTCTTCAACATATCCACAAAGCTGGAAGGGACAGATCCCAAGCAGGATATGTGGAGCTAAAGTTTCATTTTAGTGTCTGACAGTTGTTTTGTATGAAGGGCAAATCAGAAGGGTGATGGCAGTCTCAACGCACCCCCTGCGCACAGCTTAGAGAATCACAGAACCACAGTCTTCCATCTGATGAAAATTGTAGGTTGGCAGACATTTGCAAATGGATACAGTGCAATGAGACACAGACCCTGAAGTATGGGGGGACGGGGGAAACTGCTGCAAAACATTGCTCACAAAAATGCTTCAATTCTTTATTCCAAACATAAAATTTAACTATCTATAGTATGTAACAAAAAGCATGTTTCTTTTTCCAGTTTCATTTTTTTCAGCAAATCAATTTTTTTCTAGTTATTTACAGAATAATAAAGGAGTGAAAAAAGTGGCGAATCAATATATCCATACAATAAACAGGAACAGAATTTTAAACAGAATTAGGCTTTGCACAAACATATAGGCTTTAGAAAAAATATTTACAAGCAATCCTTAAAACTTTGGCAGATTAGTCTGCTAAATAGCCCATAGATCAGGTGCATTGCAACTTGGGTGCTGCAAATGTCATTTACTGAGGACAAAAAGTTTGTTTCCATGTCTGTCTATGGTACAAAAAATAACATCACAAAGTCCCTGGGATAGTTACTGTAGACACATTTTCACTCTGAAGGCAAACAATTAAAGCACAAATTTCCCTTATCGTTCCCCAACACTTGTCTGCTCTCCACAGAATAACCACATCCTCATAATCATTTTACTCATACATTCTACTGTGCATTTTTTAATCACCGCCACACCATCATCATCATCTTGAAAGACATATACTTATAGGCACATAATTCCTAGTCTCCTTAGCACAGGAAAAACCTGGTGCCAGTTGAGGATCCCTGACCAAGACTGGAAACCAGCTACAGGCTAATTCCATGGATGACCAAGTCTCATTGATGTATGTCAATGTGATCTTGTTCACTCAAGACTTAAACAACTGCGTATGTATGGGTGCACACCATAAATATTATAATGGGGAAAAGAAATACAATGCAAAATCCTTCCAGCTGAACACTAAAATAGCAAGAGCTAAAGCACCACAATGCCTCAGAAGATGCACAGTACCGTATGTCCTGTTCTCTTCCCAGAATTCAAGAATCATAATTTAAATGTTACATTCTATCATCATTATTGAACAAAATGTTTAAATTCCAACTACTTTTACTCCAGGCATGCAGGAAAAAAAAAAGTTCACAGTGGATTGTGATGGTCAAACTTTTGTCCCTGGATTCTTCATGTCATGCTGAAAATGTGAATGCATGTATGTATAAAAGAATGAATGAACAAATGAATAAATTAATGAATCAATGCATGCACCCTAGGTAGAAGTATAAACAATGGAAGTGTACACATTGGTTTCCCTGCAGAAGAGTATGCATTCCAGATACACAGTGTGTAAACAAAGTGAGGATTGTCAAATCTAGCAAATACAGTCTAAAAAGATGGAATCACCTGCAGTGAATAGTTAGCCAGAAGCTAATATTACTGTAATTTAGACGTTTATTTTTCTGTTCTCCCTCACAGCTGGGGGTCTGGATGGAACTTTTATAGCGGCTAAAAAGCATTAGTGGAGCTGCCGATCATAGCCACTGAACACATCACTGAGGGAACACACCAGGACATCTAGACGGAATTAAAAAGCTTCCATTCGGAGCAAAAAAGCCTCTTTGAAGATAGGTGGGGCAAACCATGAAGCAGATGTGTGAGCTCGCATCAAATGTACCCCAGTTTATTCTGGGACATCTGAACTTTCAGGGATGGGAGTGTCAGGACAGCTGGCGACAAGGTGGGGCAGGGGATCAAAAATAAATTGGCAAATTAAAAAGTCAGCCAGTGCCCTTCAAAACCGAAACCAAAACCATTATCGATGTTCAATAACAAGTGAAAACCACAGACGCTTTGAATGTCCTCTGCCACAAACCAACAGGAGGTGGCACACAGCCCTTCTTTACAGAAACGGGTTAGGGAAACACAAAATGCACTATTAACTCGTCTGGCATGGGGTGATGCAAGGAAGAGCCTTAGACCCTGCAGACGGGAACCGCTGGGCTCAGGCTTATGGCACAGAGTTTCCAAAAAAACACAGAGAAGAAGAACGGCATTTTTTTCTGGCTTGTCCTAAAGTGATCTAACGTCACTAAATTATAGTTTATACAGCTGCACATTTACTAAAGCGAGTCAGGATATGTACCTAAAGTTCCGCTCCTGGGGAACCCTCAGTCTAAAAGTCTAGCTCCCATCGGCTCTCTCACTTTATCCTTCCCTTGTACTTCGCAGTTATAATGTGGAACATGACAATTTAATCAAAAGAAAGAACCATGTCCATCATCTGGTCAATACAGCTTTGTGTAGAGTTCAAAATGTCATATATTAATGCAGCATTAGCACATAAGTACATATTGGCTGTGAAGATCAAACACAAATTAAAAAGACGATTTGAAACAGCAAAATGACAAGAGTAGGTGTGCAAGTTTGTCAAGTGACATCTGACAGCAACACACCAGTCTTCTGCTAATACTCATAAAACCCAGCCAGGTAAAGCAGAATAATGCCATTAATCGGTCAATGGCGATTACATACAGTTCACGCCAATGAAAGAAAGAGCATATTCCCCCTGAATTTTGGTTGTCTTACTTATTGCATCCATCCAAATAATTTGATAATTTAATTCTGCATTTATACTACTTAAATTACTGTCTTAGTCCCATTTTCTCCTCTATCACACATACCATTCCCTACGAGAAATGACCGATCCATCAAGGTGGGAAACATATTCGCTGTCCGTACCGCTGTCATAGAAGTCCTCCGACATGTAGGGGGAGCCATTGTTCACACTTGGTAAGGGCATAGGAATCTCCCTTGGGTACATGTTGTGGGAGCTGTGGTGGTTGGGATAATAGTCCTCCTCTCCATGCATCCTTCGGCTGCCGCGAATGCTGTCGCCCCAGTCCTCCCGGTCTTTCCTCTCCTTGTATTCTGAGTCAATGATGTCCCCGGCAGCCTTGGGCTTCAGGTCCGGACTATCCTTTGTCAAGTCATTTCCCCCATATACCTCCTGCAGCTCGTGGGGTTCCAGCATGTCCAGCTGGGGCTCCTTTTGCATGTCGGCTGGGCCCAGGTACTGCTTGGTATAATAGTCTCCCCGGAAGGTACGCCGCTGTCGCATGTAGCAGATGCCAACCAGCACCAGAAGCAGTACCAAAAGCAGAAGACCACCGATGATTCCACCCACGATGGCGCCCAGGCTGGTGTCGGGAGAGGAGCCCAGCGTTGGGGAGCTGAACTGAGCACGCTGCTTGGTGGGGGGAGTGTGGGAGAAGCCGCCACTAGGATGGAGGGGTGCGGGAGTGGTAGGAGCTGCAGCTGTGGTGGGAGGGGGGTCTAATGATGAGGGGCAGTTCAAAGGGAAGGTCAGGGAAAGGGAGAGAGGAGGGGAGTGAACCAGTAGAGAGAGAGAAGGAAAGTAGTAAAAAAAGTACACAATGTCAGTAGTGCAAAGTTCTTGCCCAAATAATGGTTGTATATAAACCAACACCATTTGATCTTAAATTGTGCAAATACCTAATCATGTCAATTACTGAAGTGTATAGGATATTACAAATTACAAATGAAAAAGAACTGGCTGTAGAATTGTATAAACGGAAATGATAAATCAAGTGAGCTACTATCGATTTTCATGCTTCTTCATGCTTACACATAAGCTTTCTAAATACAGGGCAAATACAAAAACTGCCGTTTCATTTCTGAAAATGTTTAAATGTCTAATAACATTTTATCCCTTTTAAGAACCTTTAAGAATTTTTTGCTGCCAGTATGGGAGGGGAGAGGAAAATATAAACACACAAGGCATGTCTTGTTCGACTAGGACTTTAGGAGTTTGGTGGCAAATCCGAATGTACTGAGAACCACCGTGTCCAGGGAGTGAGGTACTTTCCATGTGGAAACTGATTTATACCTAGTTAACTGAAGGAGCTTAGTTCCTTATCAAATAATGACATCACTAACACATTTAAAATGAAGATGCCACGCAAACCCTGGAGCCTTCAAATGGAGCTTCCATTGGTATTTTACAGAACTTTATTATGACAATAATAGGAAATGAAATTACTACCAGCACTATAATTGAGATTTTATTATTGAGGCAAGCGATTTCATTAGATGTCATCACACACATGTATACAGACATAGGTAACATTGGTGGCTGTTGACCAAAATTTGCCACAAAGCAAACCCTAGAGCCCCCCCCCCCCCGTATAATTTCAGACCTCATCATATATTAGTCATTACTATAAGTATTACAGTGAATAGCAAGATATTCATTATATCTTCCATTGGTTGCTAGTTTCAGTCAAAGCTCTATTTAGCCAGAAACCTGAGTCTCAAGTTGTGCAACTATTGACCCGTTGAGCGGATACTTAAAAAGTGATGCTGACTAAAATTGTTTTAACCATTTTCAGTAGGTGCAGCCTTTGCTGAAATAAAATTATTACAGAAATACGAGTAAAAGTAATGGAGAAACCTTATTAACATAGGAGTCAGATACAACTTTACACTGTTTTGCTCTACATTACATGTACAACACAACAGAAACAGTCATAACATGTCGTACCAGAAAAGCACATCTGTAAACTCCTTATAGTTTCCTTTGTTGTCAGAGTTTTCACTCTCATTGTGTCCCCTAAACGCCACTTCTCAACTACCAAGGAATTAAATGGCATCAATCAGCCATTTCAGAATCTCTTGGTTTTATCACTGTGTCATGAACGTTCTTATTTACAGTGTAAATGGGGTTAGGTACAACCAGTAAGAACAATGGGCCTCAGTCACCAACCGTTCTTACGAACAAACTTGTTCTTAAACCCCACGTACGCACTTTTTTTTACAAAGATTCTGACATTCCCCAATATTTTCTTATCTGAATTTATTCTTAGCTAAGAACAGAATCTATGCACACTCATGACCATTCGTACACACATTTGAGTAATGATAGTTTGTTCAAAATAATTGGTTATAGCATTTTTGTTCATTCTACAGTTCATAAAATGATAGTATTTTAACAATTTATAAAAGTAAAATATAAAAAATAATTTTTAAGTGTAAAAATTATTTTCATGGTAGTAATGGCGATCGTGCGGATTATAAATAGATCAGAATCTTCGTAAAAAAGTGCGTACGTGGGGTTTAAGAACAAATTTGTTCATAAGAACGGTTGGTGAATGAGGCCCAATATTTATAAATCAAAGTATTTTTTACTTTTTTACTTAGAGAATAACAATTCCTTGTCCACACACCAGCAAGAAATATTGGTGAACAAGTGAGTTACTCTCGCCTGATAGTTTAACTCATGTTCTGAATGGTTAGAAGTGTGTCAATCGTCTTTGGGTCGAGAACACACAAGAGCACACATAACTGGAAAGACTAGGTGAAGCATGCCAGGTGAAGCATGATTTAATAATGTGTCATAACTATCCAATCAACTACTAAATAAAACATGATGAGAAATACACTGAAGTCTATTAGCTTAGTGAGGCAGCAAATGTCTTGCTTCATGAAATTTACTAATATCAACCTAAGAGTGGTGCAGTTTTGCACAATACTTCAGAAATTTTCTGAACAGCCACAATTGTTTGATTTCCACACAGAAATATCTGTTATGACTATTTAGTGTCATAAAAATATTTTGTGATATAGGAATGTTTTGTATCCTTTTTTTTTTTAGCAAAACTCTGCTTCACCTGTTACCTGAAAGAAAGTGCCACTGATACACAGACATACATATACAAACATATACATATAGACATATATACATATACAACCATATACATATACATATACATACACGCACAAATCTGCTAGCCCTAGTTGAGGGACTAAAGAGGATGCAGGCAAGGAGCAGCTGATGAAGACATCAGTTCAAATGTCTTAGCTATAGAGAAGGGGAACGGCCATATAAAAGGGAGGCAGTCGCAATCACTACCACTTGCAAAAAGTAAAACTCCTCTTCGTGACTACATGACTACACAGAGGATCAGGTAGAAGGGTGTGACATGAGTGCCCAGCTTAACAGAGCTCTCTCTCTTTCGGAAAATGCAGTACCTTCTGCCTTCACATCGTTAATTTTAATGTGGTAAGAAATTTCCAGCAGCCGGTTTCGAGAATAGAGGTTTGGCAACGGCGCACAGAGGCACTGCAGAAATGAAGGCGGCAGGGAGGGGGGAAATGAAGAAAGCAGCCACACACATTGATAAGTATCAAGTGCAAAAAGAGCCTGGCCACAGTAGCAGATGATGTGCTGCACATGTGCTTAAGTCGGGATGTCTCTGAAAGCGATGGCAATCTTCCCGGAACTCTCCACAATACATACAAGAAAGAGGTTTCAGATTTTTCTAGCTTCACCTTGCCTTTCCACAGCCAACCCCCAACCCTCCGTTCGAGAGAGTCATTGGAAAAAAAAAAAAACCTCTGAAGGCTTTTGTTGTTGTTGTCGTTATTTTGTGGGGAAAAGAACTAAATAAGCAGCAAACCGTAACAAGCTGTAACTTTGTAGGTATTTCTGTGGGGCTTCCTGCTTGGGCAAGGAAAGGGTTAATTATGCAATGCAGCCTTCATGAAAGGTCACATTTACTCTCCGCCCCCAAAAACCGTCCAAACAGAAGGCTGAGCAGACACACCAGCTTCCACTCACTCATAGACCCCAAAGAAGTAGAAAAGGTGGGCTGTCCCTCACCTCGGATCCAGACGCGAGTCTCTCTGCTCCTCGTGTCAATGTCGTTCTCAACCGTGCAGCGATACACTCCCGAATCATTCTGCTGCAGGGGCCGCATGAAATAGAGGGTGCCGTTTACCACATCCACTCCCTCTGGCATAGGCCCATCCAACCTGGGAGGGTAGGGTGGGGGGGCAATAATAAACAAGAGCTGACAAATATGCCACAGTCTGTGGTCTCCTTAATTATCTGTAATTTAAGTAACAACACTGTTACAAAGATGTGCAGCACATTCAGAAACCACAGAATGACACTGAAAGCCATGGAAAGAGCTAACCTGGATCCGTCATAAAACATAAACATATACAACTCATTCTCAGATAATACTTCTTTCACTAATCACTGCCAAGCCCCTGAACAATGTCAATGAATCTAAACGGCATTAAAGGTTAGAATAATTAATGCAGTAAGAAATGCACATATACAGTATGTACTATAAATACCTATGACACTGGTTTGCATACATACACTTTTCTGAAAATACCTGAAAATGAAGAAGAAGAAAAAAACAAAACAAAACATGGAGTATCACTGAAGAGTTCAATGAAACGTAAAATGATCTAAATCTTGGATTCCTCACAATGGCTGCCATTTACCTTGATAACAGCTTGTATAGGAACCATAGGGCAGTCAGTTAACGTATTTCTGCAGAAAATCAGCTGGTCTGCAGCAGCTGGAAATCTGAGGAGCTCATTTATAAAAAATGGTCCTGACATTCTTGCAGAAGAGGAAATGTTCATTTATACGAATAGTAACAGCTACACTCACAAAACCTTGTGTAAACTGTGATTTGTATCATACAGGTTATAAATCCCACATATTGAAGACTTGCACATGCACACTCATAAGAGGCCACCCCATTCCTACCCAGTAACTGCCCTAAGACTGGCAATGCAAATTAGCCACGTTTATATACGCGCACATCCAACATTTGCGATGCCATTTCAGAGACAATAGAGCCACTATCAAGAGGGGGATGAAGGAATTTCTCAGAATGCAACGTACAGACATTACAGGGAGAAATGGCAAAGCATTTTATTTGATGGTACATCTGCCAGTGCTACAAGAAAAAGCCAAATGGAAGCATGTGACTGCAGTGGTCATTTCAAAAAGCCGGAAGATGGAATTATTTATAAAAAAAAAAAATGGCCAGATTTAAAAATCCAATAAACCGGCATTACTCTTCTCTCTCACAACTATAGATGCCACTTTTTTCTGTTTCCTCCAAAATGTCTATACAACTGCTCTGGACCATTCATAAATGCTCGTACCTTTTTAGGGTATTTTCAGATCTGAAAATCTTTGTATAAATGTGCATACAAATGTTTCGTGGCTATTTCGCTCGTACGTAGCCTTCATAAATGAGCCCCCTGTAGTGTCTGCAGCTTGCTTTGCAATTACTTTCATTCCTATTAATGCCATAAAAGTTAAATGTGACTGAGGGCTGCAAACTGGGAAACGCCAGTTCATTACATGAATGACAGTTCATCATTCTTTCAGTTTTCCGGCACCTTCCTTTTTTGCCAGATAGGTCTTGCACAATTCTGAGATATGTTGGGTCATTGCCTTCCTGAAGAATGAAGGGCTGCCCAGTCAGCTGTAATTCTTTAGTATACTATGACAGCCAGATTGGCAAGGATTTGTTTTTTGTTTTTAAATAATGATAAAATACTTTTTCACCAGCAAAGCAACCCCAGGCCATAATATTGTCTACTCCATGTTTCACAGTGCTAACCACATATGCAGCAGTCATGTTCTTCATATGTATGTTCTTACAAATATACAGTTGGACCAAACTATTTCATATCATTCACCGATTCAAATGTCTGGCTTCCAGTCTTCAGAAGCTCAATGTTTTTGGGTTCTGGTAATTCTCTTCCTCTTATTCTGCACTCTTAATGGTGGCCTCTATGCAGTGATTCTTCCAGTTAGGCTTGCTCCATACTCCCATTAAAACAACTGCTATTCTAGTAGTATTTAGCTGGACCCATTATTTCAGGATCAGTTAATTGTCAGTTCTAAAGATTTCTGGCTCAAATGAACTTATTCGCTGAGGTCACCTTTGGCCTGAAGGACCTTGTTCTCTCTGCATAAGTGCCACCTTCTTCAAAATATTCAATGGTCTTGACCACAGCAGTTACAAACACTTGAAAAATTCTTGCCATTTTTCCTACAGATTGACTGGCTTTTTGTAAAGGAATAACACTAACTTGCTTAACTGTGTGGATTTTACTATTTCTTGCTGGTTTACATTCAGCAGTGACAAATTCATGCAACCTATAATAATCATTGACCCTTAACTGCTAGCAATAGTGAGTTACAAACTGTTGATAAAATAACATACTAACTAAAGGCCTTTTCACACAGAGTCCGATTTTTTCACAAGAAAAAATGAACAACATTATTCTGAACAAACAAACGTATTTCTAAGAAAGCTCTCATACCAAGGCTGACAAATTCGCGTTGTCATGATCTGTCACATTTTTATTCAGAGAGAGCTTGATTTCTGCACTTTTCGGGTGCATCAAAAAAAGAACAATCAATAGGATGTTAGTTTTTACAAGTGATCAGTTTATTATTATTATTTTATTAATAGGAAGAAAACCATTAATTTGGTTTATAACACAAGCCTGTAATGATAGACTGATTACCTTTTCGGTGAAGTGATCAGAGTGTCTGGGCAACTGCCCCTTTCTCCTCACTTATGGGCATACCTGCCCAATAGCAGTTCATACGTTGATCCATATAATATAAATATTTAACTCAGAAGGTTAAAAATGTCAATATTCTAATTCTAATCGATTTTCAAAATGAAAACATTCAGATCGAAAGAATCCATACTAGCCTGTCTTATATGATGGCAAAGACGTTAAGCTGTTTGCAGCTGTTCTGGATGCTTGTGTTTATGCTGGTTATTTATTAATATTTTTGAAAATTTTGTAATATGCGTTTTGGAATATATTACAATGTGGCTATTTATTAATATTTTTATTTCACTTGATTTCTAGACTGTATACCATGAAAATCCAATAAAAATAATCAATAAGCTCTGTTTTCTCTATTCCTGTAGTAAGATTATGTTGCTGCCATGTTCTTAGTATTCATTTTGCTTACCCTGAAATACCGCTTAGCCCTAAAGTTGTTGTCACTGCTGCTAGTGCTTGTCGCTAGTTTGACAATTTTTTCAGTATACAAGCTTTTCTCAATCAGTTGCAAAAAGTTTGCAGTGTTTGGTGTGAAAGATTTTGATCCACCAAATTTGCATCTGAATATTAAGTAAAATTCAAGTTTTTTTTTACGTGTCACGTTCAGTGTGAAAAAGCTTTAAAGGGGAAGTTCATGCCAATAACTGAATAAAGAAATGTTTTAGAGTTGACTAGTTTTGGAGATATCGGCTGTAGAAATGTTGTTGATGACTAATATAATGGGAGTGAATGGCATTGTTTCTGTGGTGATTAAAGTGCCAGAAAAATACATTTGAAAAATCCAAACTCCATACCTCAGTCATACGGCTTCACAGAAGATACAAGCACGAGCACCGTAGCAGTATCTTCTGCGCAGTGACACGATTGGTGTCATTTTTTTCAATTTTTGGGGTGAACTGCCCTTTTCAATCAGAGAAGACTTATAGATTCATTTTTACAGTATTACAGAGTTAACTGACCTGAAATCCTCTTGCTTTGATATTTGCAAGAGTTGCAAATTTAAATTAAAAATAATTTATTTATGGTCATCCACTCCCATAAGTACACATATATCTTTTATCTGCTTTTACGTGTTCAGTGCTCTTGTTATGAGGCAAGTGAAAAGCAGGACTTAACTGTAACGGCCATGTGATTTTCACAGGCAATAGGTGTAACTTTTCGCATTCTGGCATATTACTTTTTTTTTTTTTTCCTAATTACCTTATTGACGACCAAGGTACCTATGGCACATCATTCCTTGTCAGAGGTGAGTTGCTGGAAATAGCTACAGGACCAGCTAATTCATTCAGGATTTTCATACTTGTTAACATTAAGATAAAAATACACAAATTCCCGGTAACTGGGCCACACTCTGAATTAACAGCTGATGGACGTTCTGGGCAGATGCCTACAAGCAGCATGCTTTGGAGGGTATCCCTGAATGACAGCAGTAGATTCCTGTAGAAGGCATCCAAACTCCTACTGACTCCAAGCCACGTCATATCAAGACTTTCCAAAGTAAACTTCTACTCAAACTGTGGGAAACACTTGAAAAAAAAATTGTTCTAGCACTAAGAACTCAACAGCATGGACTTTTGCAAGAAACGCCTACCTGGACCAGGTTAGGGAGCCGACAGGTGGGTTAGCATTGGCTCGACACTGCAGATGAGAGTCTGTTCCTCCAACAAGCCAGTCCCCAATGGATTTAAGCACGATTTCAGGAGCAACTGGAAGAGATGAGGCACAAAGGTTGAAACCGTGGAAAAAAACTGGAAGCCTTTGTCCACAAACACCTGCTAGACACCATCCACACCCAACAATGAATATTTATATATGTAAGAAGTGGAATTTCCCAGTTCTTTGGATAGAAGGCTCATACAATTCCCAGAGACCATTACACCACCCAACACATAGCTGATTGAGTTTCAGGAAAACACATGGCTTGTGCTGTGATACTCAATATACAAAATCACACACATAAATGTATGCCTATATTATAGTGCATAATAAACAATACATATGTAATCTGCATTAACTCTATTCTCCCATAATTTCACCAAAGGAGGGTGAAATTTAATACGAAAGACTAGTTCTCTTCGCTGTTTAATTCATTTAACATTGTAAATGTCATGATCAAAATTTACTTATTGCTGGAAAACCACCACAACACAATTTAGGACTGAATCCATGCAAAAATGCTTTGTGTACACGATGTTTAAAAAGTAGCGATTTATGGCCTTACAGAAGGTAAAGCATCCCCTCCGTGATAAATAAAGCACAGCATCCCACTGCGCCATTAGTTCTCCTTAAGTTACATCCAGCATGATGTGGCCCACGGCCCATTCAGCGCGGGATGTTTATCTGTGTGTGGGATCCTCTCTGTCCATTTCCACCTCCCACATTTGCCCACAGCTGTAACTGGTGATATTTTATCAATATTTCATACAGCGTCTCACTAGCCAGCACCAAAAAAACATGCTAATAAGGATACTGCCGGAGCTCAGCGGGGCCAGGAAGCACGGACACCTTACACAGCAGAGGTAACCCTGGAGAGCCATCCTTCTATAGCTTGAGACTGGTATAACTACCAGTGCTTGTTATATCTATAGTGTTGCACTACACCAACATCATAATGAAAAACAGAGGGAATTCCAATGGCAGGCAGCAAGTGACTGGTGATCATTTTGTGTTTGTTGGTGAGCTTGTGGTGGTGGTGGTGAACCCCTCCCTCCCAGGGTGTTCAGCACCCCTCCCTCCCTCTCCAGCCCACCCCTGCCAGAAAACTCACATTGCACATTGAGCCAGTGAGTCGATCGTAACTCCGTCTGCAGTGCAGGGTGCCGCACCACACAGGTGAGGGAGAGCTTCTGGGTGTGACGTGTGGGCCGCCAGCTGTAGCTGACCCACGTGGTGGCGGTGCCATCGGATTCCTTCTGCTGGTGTTCCTGGGAGCGGCCGAACAGGTCAGACTCCCAGGAGACCTCGGCGGGGGGCAGGGCTCGCTCTGCTCTGCACGTGGCCACCACTGTCTCATTCCCCCCATCCAGTAACGGGGCGGAGCTCGCTGACACATACACCTTGGGCTCCACTGAGAAAGAGAGCAGAGCGGGGCTGAACGATTTGGGGAAAACATCTAATCACAATTTTTCTGACAGATACTGCGTGAATTTGATTTGCAATATATTTTTTTAAAAGTCAAGCTTCCGTTCAGAATTCAGTGCACAAATTATTTTAAACATATGAAGCAGCATTATCATAAGATACCATCAAAATATTAAGTGGTCTATATTTAATGCAAGGATGAAAAGTTAAAGAATTGCTTCCAACATGTATTTACTGCTGTCTTTAAATTAGCAGAGAACAATCAAACATAGAACAATTATCACAAAAGCTGTGATTGTGTTAAGTTAAAAAGCCTTTGCGATTTGAAATCGATACATCGTTCAGCCCTAGAGCAGACTGTTGGACAGATGAGAAATGGACCAAGAAGAAAAGATGGAAGGACTCAAGGACTGGAAACACTTCGATTTGCTTACAATCAAACAGTTAATTTTCAATTAAGCAGCATCCAGTGTAAAGCAGGGAGCCAAAGGTGCATGGTTACATGCAGGGGTACAGCTAGAGATTCTGGGCAACAGGTAAATTTTCAGAGCGGGAGAAGAATAATTTTATGTATTATAGGGCAGACTGCACACAATTTAGATAAGGTAAGCTTCACATGGATGACTGATGGAAAAATAGGAAAACAGGTATAACCACAGAATATTAGATATTACAGGTTAAGGGGGGAAAGGAGTGCATATACACAAAATATCCCTATCACAATGCTAATGAACACACAGGCACCGGACTTCTGACAACTTCAGTTTTTTTGATTGCAGTCTCAGTTTTTTTTAGAAAATTAAGTTTCACCTTCTCCACAATAAAATAGCAGGTTTTTAATCACACTGTGGAGTACTGTAATGTATACATAGCCCACACTGTGGAGTACTGTAATGTATACATAGCCCACACTGTGGAGTACTGTAATGTATACATAGCCCACACTCAGACACACACCAGAAATGAGCAAATGGACAGATGTCACTCTTAAACCTAAAGCCGGGGTGTGAAATTCTTGCAGTGGTTTTTATGGCTGGCAGCCCCTGCGCTCTGGAGCAGAGGGGGACTTACTTGCTGGTCTCTACACAAGCATATTCTCACATTCTGAGGATTAATGAGATATTAATCATGGACCCACACTCAGACGCTGGGCAAACTGAAGAATAGGAAAATGTTGTTTTTGGCCATGCTGGTTTTCCATTTAGGTAACTATATATTCATGCACCACTTTCTACCAAACACAGTCAAAGTTTCCACAGTGACTGCGTCAGCCCGGTCGGCAGCAGCAAGCAGTACATTCATTCACTGGCAACCAGATACGCACATTTTGGCAGGAGTCCCCAATAAAACTCGCCTTCACATCGAACTCCCAGACACTATTTTGTGTGCGATGTTCAGCATCTGCATTCCTTTGCTTGGTCCTTTGCTACAGTCCTACTCTACTGCGCAGTTCCCATCGTAACGGTGCCAAGCTTTCGGTTAAGCGCAGGGGGACCGTGTCTGGTTACACGACTTCTCAGTATCTAGGCCAATCAAACGGCTAGACAGGTTGTCCCCTGAGACACATTCCTACACATGACACAGCACGGTTGTGTATTGGGAGCTGGGGTGGGGCTTTTTCTAGTTTCCCTCAGCAATTCCATTTCTTTATTCTCAGAACCAGATTCCACAGCCAATGCACTGATTTATTAAAAAAAAAAAAAACCCGTTAGTTTGCCTGCATTACACTCAGTATAGGTCGGAGTCAGTGTAGTTGCAGCATAAATTTACAATGCCATGCCTCTAAAATCTGGCCCCCAACCCCATGCAGAAATATGACCACTGTGGGTCAACACATCGTTGCAGTTCAGCACCCCACTGCACCTAAAATAGACATAAATAGCTCCCCACCCCTCCCCCCTCACCACCTCTGGCCAACAGAACCCCTCCTGGCATTCCTCCCATTCTTCCTACTGCTGACACCCCCCCCTCACTGAATACTGCGGCGTCGTCACTCCGCCTCCCGCAGCAGGCAGCCCCCAGCATGGACACCTAAATTGGAGACCCTGTCAGGAAGGAGACTGCCTGAGCATAGGGGTCAACGATCTTCAGACAGTGAAACCACTTTGAGCCCCGGTCCGCTCACGGGACTCGCATGACACGATGCGGCTGATGGTCACTAGAGCGCATGTGATGAGAGTGATGCCCACTAACGATAATGCAAGATAAGACTGAAAAATACATATCGCACTATGAGCTTTTACTCCCGGCTGTTGCGTAATTAAGAGCTGGAGTGAAGAGACAGCAGAGAGTTGCCAGGGGTTCCATATCCCATGGGGCCACGTACCTTAGCAACACCCCAAAACACTCTTACACCAATATCAACATGCTTACTCATTCTCTCTCACAGACACAAGTCACAGGACCTACAGGCAGGCGACACACATTTACCCATAATGTTGACGGTTGTGGAGGCCTGCTTATTGCCCATTGGAAAAGTGGCCACTTTGCAGGTGTAGACCCCGGCGTCAGCAAAGTCCACGTTCTCCAGCAGGACCGTAGCATCATGCCTGGATGCTGACAGGAAGGAGAGGCGTCCTACATACTCGTCTGTGATGGAGGTGCCGAATTCGGGGTTGTATACGGCCAGGGTGACAGTGCTTGAAGCCACACGGCGCTCCCACGAGCTCTGTGTCAGGCTGAGGTTGGACCCCACCTGTATCTGACATCCTAGGGTGATGTTCTTCCCCAGCACAGCATCGATGTTCCTCGGGACCAGCACCTCGTTACACATCACTCCTGTAAGGGGCGGGAGATCCATCAGGAGGAAGTTTCAAAAGGCTGCCATTAGTCATCATGTACACAAAGAAAATCAAGCAAACGCCAACTCTGGTTCCCTGAAGGCCAGAAGAAAGTTCATCTGTCTGTGGTTCTCAGGGTGGCCATTAAAACACATATGGTGGGGGGGGGGGTCCACATCGCCCTTAAGCAAGATGGCTGCCCTCCAGCTGGGGTACCAACATCAGTTATGAGGGGAAGCGTCTTGCCATAGCCACCCGTCAGACTTCAATATTTTAATGAGCATTCTGTGTGCTGCCTTCTTCTTCTCTGTGGGATACCCTCACTGTCCCCATTACTAATTGGCAAAGCAAACCACCAAACAAAGAAGCAGGATATTCTGGAACAGCATCAAACAAACCAAGCAATTTGACTTTTTATAGGCGTTTCTGTCTATGTCTGGGACCCCCATGTGGATAATGGATAACAGTTTAAATGCAAAAAGTTCATTCTAGCTTACTACAAGGTTACGGTGGGCCATGCAGGGGGTGGAGGTGGAGGTGGAGGCGCAGGGGTGCAGAAGGTTACAGTTTGTGGGTGGAGATACTTCTGAACAAACCACCCAAATCACCCTAGCACATCCGCTTTTACAACACAGCGCCAGTGTGCACGAGTGCACGAGAGCACGAGTGCACGTGCGCGTGCCCAGAGGAGGCAGGGCACAGGACGGAGCGATATGTGTAAAGTCAAAAGAAAGCTGACGGAGCCAGTTTCTAAGAAAAGCGCAATGAAACTGAGCACTCCGATGGAGCGAGGCGTCGAGCGTGGAGACGGCAGCCCCTCCTCCAGCCTGGCCTCCTTTCCTCATCCAAAAGCCAGGCATGCTTAGAGGGAGGCAGGACAGCTGGGCGCAGGTAGAAGCGAGCGCCAGCATGCCAGACGCAGGCCAATTCGACAAAAAGACAGGGGGAGCGAGTGGGTGGGTGGGCGATGACTCTGCCTTTTTCCGATGTGCTTTCAGCAGGTTCACCGAACCAAATGTTTCATTTTCGACTGCAGCTTTATATGCCCACATACCCACTTGGGCGCTCAGCAGGTTGCATAGTTGCTAAGGATTCAGAAAGGTTACTGGAAGGTAAGTTCAAATCCCAGAGAGGGCCTTGTTGTAGTAAAATGGCACTGTAAATAGTATACCGGAATATATGTGAACAGGAGAAGATGAAGGGGGCGAGCATTTTAAAGGGTAGCAAATATTAATAGAAAAAAGAAAATAAGTGCAACCATGAGAGAGGGAAGCATTAACGGTAAAAAAACCCACCCAGAAGCACTGGCTGCCGGAGTTTCAGAGCTAAACAGTAACTGTTTCACATTACACACAGACTGGCTACCAGCAGACGACAAAACAGGTGGACACACCCCCCATTCCCAGAGCACCAGTGACAATACTCACATTGAGTAAAGGGCACATGAACAAATACTGGTTGGGAAATGAATTGCTAATAATACTGAAGGTTAAATTCCTAAGAGAGAACCGGCCTTAGAAAGCTGGAAACTGATGTGGTCTGTGAAGAAATGGAATCTATGTAAACTACAACAGAACAGAAGTTCATTTGAACAAAAAAAGGTGTCTGCTATGAATCTGAACAATAAAACAAAACAGAGATAAACAAAGTTGAGGGGGAAATACAGGCATCGTCCGGAACGGCCAGCTGAGAAACATGGTATCCATCCTGGGACAGAACACCCTCCCGCCTCATCTGTTTCACTCGACCACTGGTTGTACACAAGATGTGTCAAGGCAGACACTGGGAACACAGGTCACATATGCATATCGCATTTGGGATGGGAATAGCACAAATGCACAGCTCTTGGGGCAGTGGGGGGGGGGGGGCACGGGGCTTAATTCTGCCCCCATCTCCAGAAGAGGGGAAACAGATGGCCACTGTGCGGGACACCCGAAAACCCCAGTGAGAAGATTTGGAGGCCAGCCGTTCATTGCTGCATCGGGAGAGGAGAGCTGCCTAGAAATGGAACCACAACTGAAAAAAAGATAAATAAATAAACACTGAACAGATAAAATTAAATATCAAACATCAGTATCAGAACAAGCAGACAGGAAGTGAGTTTTACTACAATTTCTCCACGACATCTGGAGGGCCTATGTCTAAGCTGCATCCTAAGGAGTGAATGATTAAATAATGTGCATGGCGTTCTTACATACAAGCTCTCTCACTGGTGACAGACACAGGATACACAGATGGAGTACTGCAGGACAGCGCAAGGCCAGTATTGCTGCCTCAGTCAGAGAAAACCATTCGCTAAATGTTACCTTGTATTACTGTAAGTGAATGACCATGCAATCATAAGAGATCAGCGATGACATTTCATGAAGCACTGATGCATTCAGATCTCATAGCCCCCCAATCCCACCCCCAGGACCACCAGCAGAAGCACCTTGTCATCCTGCTGCCTGATCTAGATCATTTTTAATGCCAAACTGTAGAGACCCTAATGATTAAAACACAATCTCACGTGTGAAATGCCTCAGTGATGGTGTAATGCAATGCAAAGAGAACAGATTCATTCAATAAAAAACAATGGGGGGCTTGAGTAGTAGAAGTACAAAGCAGGGCAAAAATTAATTCATGAAAAAGTTATGCTTTATTCTCTGCTGACATCACTAATTGGGACAAGCTGTTGGGACAGTGTTATGCTGGTGATAGATAATCAAAACTAACTAGAAATACGCCACCCAGCAACTGCCTCAAAGATTCCATACGGGCCAGATGGATCGGCCAAGGCCCCCGCACATGCCTTCCTGACCCAGCCTTGTTCGTGATCCCCCCAGACCTCAGGGAGGGAGGGAGGACAAACATGCTGCATGCAGAGAGGCTTGTTTTTTCAGGAAATATCCCAATGTCCAGTATTGAGAATATGATGTCATCTCGGCCAAAATCTTAGCTTGGAATTCTGATGTTTTTTTTTTTCTTTTTTTCTCTTAATTTAAGCAAGATTAGAAACTGAAGAATCTGTTATATAAAATCACCATATGCATTACATCAAATACATCAAAAATCATATTTTATACATATTATATAAATCTAGATCTCTCGCTATATTGCCATTCTGCCATTTATATGGCCATTTTTGTCATAGTACATATTTCCACTTTGAAACTTCTACTTGACAGATTATAACTAATTTAGTAGTTTCCCAGGACAGAAGTCGAACGTAGTTTAAAGACCACCAAGAATCCAACATACCGCACCAGGACTAAATGGGAAGTCCCTGTTCTGTGTGAACACAGAAAACTGCCCTTACCTAGAGCAGAATAAAGGGTCATAACGATATAAGAGGAGTAGAGAAAGGGAAGAAGCAGACAAAGAGCAGTGAATACAGAAATGGATACTACAGCTAAGAGAGCACAGCTGAGTCAATTTCTGCACAAGGTCACAAGCCAGAAGGAATCAAGGGGACACCCGGGAACTGACAGCAAGAATGGTGAGATACACACTTCGGTCAGCTGCACTGAAGGGGTCAGGAGGACAAAGACACAGAGTTACCCCCAACAATATGGAGCTTTTCCTTGGTTCAGAAAGCAGCAGCAATGTATAATGATCCTATAGTTACAGCATTGTCACTGACTTGAGGTTAAACACAAATGCTAAGTTCTCTTTGGCATTATGGAATTTTTTTTTTCCATATAAGGTCACCACTGTAATACATCTGACTCAGCACCAATGTTCACACCACCAAAATGAGGAAGATAACGCAAAAAGCATATACCAGACATGCACGATACACAAGGTCATGATGTGTCCGAAGATACCTTTTCGCTTTCTGCTTGTGCAACATTTTCAGTAACTCAAAATACCACCGGAATCCAGTCCAGCTTCCAGTTCAAGTCCAAGTTCAAGAGAAACTGTTCCAAACAATGCAATACAACCAAGCAACAGAAAGACAAAAAGGCAGCTAATACAGCAGTGGTGAGATAAGACAGAAGACTTGAACACACCTGAGAGATTAGCTCAAAGGACCCCTTCCAGCACTTTTCCCCCTAGAAAAGGTGTCAGGTGAATGGCACAGGAGGAATAAAAAACACATGCTAAACTCAGGGCACCTGTAAATTCAGCTCTGAAGTACATCAGTAAGGGCACCGCTGAGTGAGGTTCAGCTATTCTCATTGGGGGTGGGGGGGTTAAAGGATTCATCATGTGTTTGCTAGCAGATATCTCGGACGAAGTGGTACCATCATGTTTACAAGCCTTCAAGGATGCCAGACATGACAGCAGATAACCTGACCTAACCTCGATAGAGAGACACAGAGTATGGAAAAACAGATACACACCTGTGTCTATAGAAAGCCTCATCTGCACGCACTGGACAGGCATCCACGAAGAACAATATATGCAAAACAATGGCCTGCAAACAAATACACTTTTAAAATGAGACAATGCCATTTATATTTGCTTGATGTAGGCCTATGGTGCAATGCTTTAAAAGTAGGGATGCACCGACTGCAATTCTCCTGGTCGATCCCGATTACAAATTTTTTGGTATGGCCGATACCGATTTTTCCAATACCGATTTTTGCCCTGAGAACAGCAAATACATACAAAAATCACATTTTCTTCACCTCAAAACTTTATTTTCATAACAAACTCATATTAAACTTCAAAATTCAAATAATTGAAACTAAAACAAATAAATAAAACCCCAACTACGACCAAACATTAAGATATTCTTTAAAATAATAAGAGGTGCAGCAAGTAAACGTGTGTGACATGACATTCCGGTAGCTCGACGTCCAAAAAGTAACGCCTACTTGGTATTCTATATTTTGGGCTGAGGTCATTTATCAGATTTCTGAAGCCTCTCTCCTCAACTACAGAAAATGGCTGGTCATCCAGTTCCATGAATTCCATAATTTTCCTCGTTAATTTCTTTGCTCTTTTCACTGCTTATACCAACAAAAGATAACAGACTGCTGGCTCGTAGATGGCGTCGAACATGCTTTGCTA